GGAGGCTGTTGTTTACCCGCAAGATCCATTCTCCTACATCTCTTGCAAAGATTTTCCGTTTCACGACTTATACTTTCAAGAAGAAGAAGATCGAGATCCACAAGACACCAAGAACAACATTAAGCTAGGGCAAGGACAAGAACATGTGTTCGCGAGTAATAATTACAACGGTAAAAGTGGAGACAACAGTGATGATTATAATTACACCGAAGAGGATCTTCAATGGCCGCGAGACATTCCTTTTGGATCTGCCGTCGATACCAAGAACCAGCCCCCGCCGTTGGATGTGGCGGCAGGAGGTAGGAGGAAGAGGAGAAGGACGAGGTCTAGCAAGAACAAGGAAGAGATCGAGAACCAGAGGATGACTCACATCGCCGTCGAGAGAAATCGCCGGAAACAGATGAACGAGTACCTCGCCGTTCTCCGTTCTCTCATGCCACCTTCTTATGCTCAAAGGGTTAGTCTTTACATACAAACAGTTATATGTATAGAAGTGTGTGTGAGATGAGCGCGTGGTTTCTTCAGTGCTTTAGCTTTAGCTGTAAATTTCTTGACGTGTCAAAAAAAAAGAAAAAAAAAAGGCAAAGCCTATGTTCTAGACTTCTAGCTAATTAGGACTTAGTATATAGACTATACATATAGTTAGATATGCATGTGTGTTTATATGCTTTAAAACATAAATTTGAGAATGATGATGGATGAATGAAAGCCGTTATATATGATGACAAAAAGTAAAAAATATTTCTTTTTTTTCATAATATTAGATCATGTAGTCTCTAAAATGAAATTTTCGTTAGTGGAATTGTGGGAGCATATATAAAGTCTTGAGCATCATTGCACCCAAAAAAGACTATACAGATTTATAGATGGATGATGAAATGGTGACACAATAATTAAATTTTTTAAATAAGGTACGAAAATATAGAAATGTTTGATTGTTTTTGCAAAACCTTTTGCAATTTCTATGGGCTAAAACTAACTAACCAATGGTTGGTGGTGGTTAAAGGGAGATCAAGCGTCAATCGTAGGGGGAGCCATTAGCTACTTAAAGGAGCTTGAGCATCATTTACAATCGATTGAGCCTCCGGTAAAGACCGCCGCAGAAGACACCGAAGCTGGTCGCGACCAGACAGATACGGTCGCTGCTGCTAGCTCATCCGGACCATTCTCGGATTTCTTTGCATTTCCTCAGTACTCGAACCAGCCTACGTCAGCGGCGGCGGCTGAGGGGATGGCGGAGATAGAGGTGACGATGGTGGAGAGCCATGCAAGTCTGAAGATACTTGCAAAGAAGCGACCGAGACAGCTTCTTAAACTGGTCGCATCGATACAAAGTCTAAGGCTCACTCTTCTTCATCTCAACGTCACCACTCGAGATGACTCCGTCCTCTATTCAATCAGCGTCAAGGTACAATTTTTTTCTCTCTCTCTCTCTCTCTCTTTCTCTCTCTTTATTCATCATTTTTTTTTTGTAAGTAACGAGATTAGAGTGATATATAACATCGTTTTTAGGGTTAGTGGGTTGATTTTGAAACTTCAAATAAAAAGTGGTTTTTATGGGAGACTAATCATTAGTCTCATTGTTAGTTTTTGGGTCAATGAATGATTCATTGATTCTTTTCCCCGTCACAATGTTTTTGATTCATTTAATGTGTCTCTTATTAATAACATGTTGTGATTAATTTTTCTGGGCAAAATAAGGTTTTCGAATAACAATAATAAAAAGAATCGGTTCTTTTTTACTTGGTTAGGGCTGGCCTTCAATTATTGGGGGGTCAAAATCATCGTTTCATATTTATTAAAAAAACAACAAATTTTTTATTTAGTACAATCATAAATATTGATTCTTGTAAGAATCAGGGACCAAAAAGATGACATATGCCTACACATGTGTGAATGTGTGTGTACATATGTATATATGTGTACTGTGGAAGTTTGGTGGTCACAGAGAACTGTGGATGCACTGTGCACGGCAGAACGAAATGACGCCACTTGTTTCAGGACACATTCATAAGCTTCTTCCTCGAAATATAAACATTTACTTTTATTATTTTTGTTACTTTTTGTGTTCCTATATCAACCTTTTTTCATGTAACTTATAATCATTTTTCTACAACTTAAAATAATGTATATATAATGTGTTTTATTTCAGGTTGAAGAAGGTAGCCAATTGAATACAGTGGAAGACATCGCAGCAGCTGTGAATCAAATCCTAAGGAGGATCGAAGAAGAGTCATCCTTTAGCGGTAGCTAATAATATAGTTGAACTTTAGTTATGACACATTTAGAGAAACTCTAATTTTTCATGTGTGATCTTTTACGCTCTTTTTTCATTTTAAACTAAATAAAAATGAAATAAAGTTCTACGTTTGTTTTTGTTAATTAACGTTAATTGTAATGCTAAAAGAAAACTAAAAACAAACTAAACACATTATTTCTAGGATTTTTGTGTAATTGACCTTATAATATAGACCTACTAACAAAAGAGGAACTAGCTAGCTTATGATGAATTCTATACGAGAATAGTAAAAATGGATTTGGTCCAATACTTTACTATCTTGGATGCTGCTGTGATTCCCATGTACATGTGAAGTTCCTTCGTTTCAAATCTCGTAAACAGAAGCTTGTTAATCAATTGTTAATATCAACGGATTGTCTCAATATATATATGATGGTCTTCGATCTCTTAGTCTTGCTCACATAGAGGATATGTAGTAATTATCATGATCTAAAATAAGAGGAGGATTGAGGAGAGGTAGACTGTAGATACCCAAGCAAAGGGCAATTGTTTGAACAACAGTGACCAAACTAGTTAGTTTGAGGTCGTCGAAGACGTAATTCTAATTGGGGAGACTTTGTCTGACTCAATCCGCCACTAGTTTTTTAAGGGAAAGCAAACATATATAGTTTCAAGCTACTTTTGTACATTCATAGAAAAAAAAGGGAATCCCTTTCCAAAGAAACACATTAAAACTAAAAAAAGTCTCTCTATCGCATTCTTAATTAATATCAAACCTAGTTGCACTAATTATGACATCACATGCAAATTGTCCAAAATTCTCATTAATTATATCCTTTCTTACACCAGAGCCAAACTAATTTGAATCCAACAAAAACACCCACTGATATTTCTTAAATTCCAAAACTTATTCTCTGTCGTCGTTGCCACATACCAAATTCGTCTCTAATAAATCCTCACGTGCTTAAGAATACTAATTTGTTGACCTACATTATTGGTAAATTATGAGGAAAAAAACAAAAAAGAATACATTATTGGTAAGTCTGAACTCTGTAGTATAATAATAGGGATCAAAAATTAAAAGTTTATATTTATATAGAGGCTAAAGCTGTGTAGTTTTATTGAGAAAAGGTAGGCTATCTAAATTTATCCTCAGTTTAGTATAATAATTTCTCTAAAACTAAAGCCAAAGAAAAAATAAGTTCAAAAAAAATAAAACTGGTTACTTGTGTCTCATGGAGAATGATGTCTTTGTAGGAAAATAAAAATATCTGTAAAAGAAGAATAATGAGTATGATTTGCTCCAATGACTTCAAGCATTCTCATGATTGTTTACTGAATGAATGGTTTGCAATTTGCATTCGCTTTAACGATAATTCTACATTGACATTTCCTGTCTCAACGATGATTCGAACTGAAATAATAATTAACTCGAATATACATACATAAATAGTACAAAACCGAGTCAGTTCCACATGCTTCCTCGCTAGCTAGTAGTACTTTGCTTGTATGAGTTCCATGCACTCATGCAGTAGTCTCTTGCCCGTGTTTCCTGTTTTGCCAATCAATTGAAATATAGTTTGGTCAGAGTCATATTAGTATATTACCCTACGGGTAATGGGATTACATAAACAATCCAGCAAGGCTTTGTACAAAACAAATTAGGAGACAGAAGAAGTTAAGAAAATGATTGAGTAAAAAAGTAGAGAAACTTACGATCATGAATCATGATGATGATAATGATATATATTCGTGACTTTATTCTCTTGAATTTGATCTTTAATTTTTTTTTTTTTTTTTTAAACTCGGATGGAGGCACAGAATCAGCAGTACATGGGATTCATGCAAGAAGACGATGATGATTGTCGTATCATGAAGACATATCAAAGATCTTTCGAATCTCTGTTTTTTCACTTTTAGGGTTAAAAAGCAAAAGCCAGAAAAAGTAAAAAGTAAAGGCTATCGATGTGATTACACCAATAAATCAAAAATTATATTCCCTCTCTATTTTATCAATAAGAAAGGACCTCTCCATTATATATATACACAGCTGACTGTTAGATTTTAGCATCTTTTTCATGATTGAGATTTAGAATCATCAACTTTTCCTTAACTTTGCCTTAAGTAAATATTGGTTTTTTAGATGTGATTGAAGTCGATATATTTCTGTACCACTAGTTTTATTATATGATCTTAATGGAATACATACAGTATTTTCACATTATAGTGAAAACCAAATTTGGATACCATGGCCATATATAGCTTTCTCCTTGTGTGAGCCAGCCACCCACAAAAGTAAAAACATAAACTTTTTCATGTCTGTATCATATCTCTTTCGCCATTTCGCCATACCTTCAAGCTTCAGAACACACGACACCGTTTTTAACATATCTGATTCGGTTAAAATAAGCATATAGTGTTAGGCCATTTATGGATTTGGGCGGGGTATCATGTATTCAACATTATGCACATATCCTAGACTAATACATGTAGTTGTGGAAGAATTCGAATGGTTGATGCAAAATCTAAAGTATGTGTAATTTTGAATTAGAAGACAAGTTTACAAATCTTTCCACTCAATTTGAGATTAGTAAGAATTTTGCTATCTCAAATCTCCTTGTTTGTCAAATTGAATATAGCAACAATAGTAGTAGTATACATGAACACATTAAAGGTCAAAAGCAAAAAAAAAGAGTGAACACAATCGTATAAGCCTATCTAATCATCTATTGAGAGTTGCATACACTTGAACATTTCTGCATTGTTTATTTACTCTTTTTTTATTAAAAAATCTCGGGAAAAAATGGTTTTACTACAGCGGAAAAACCGAACTCTTGTTTTTGTTGAAACATGAAACAGAGGAGCTTCCACTTGTCTTCAACGTAACGTCTGACTGTGTTTTCCCTGCATCTTCTTCGTTTCCTTCGCCATTCATTTCACTAGAATCAATGGATACACAACTTCTCCGTGATGCAACCTTGTGATCACTGTTTTCTTCAGAACAGCTTGCTTCGAATTCTCCGATGGGTCTGGTGGAGTTCTGACTCTGTTTCTCCCATGATCTTCCCTGAAAATTTATACTTTCTATATGGGTTTTGGTCTGCGAGAGAGAATTTAAGGAGTCTCCTCCATTTGGATCCACACAGTCCACTAAAACCCTAACTTTCTCTTTCGTCTCTGTTTCAGACCCCTCACCGTCGATTTCATCCAAACCTCGATGGATCTCGTTACCAAATCCATTAATCTCAATTCTGACATCATAATTCGGATATGTGTTGTCCGAATCATCCCTCTCTTTAAAACCAGATTCATCCCCCTCTCTACCTAATTCAGCTCTGTTCTCAATATGGTCATGATCTTCTTCACCAACTCCATCGTTCTCCAAACGTGATCCTGATCCTTCAGGAGTTACATCGACCGGACCAGAGCACCTTGGAGTGGCGGCACTGATCATCGCAATACCAGCACGACACAGAGGACAATTGGTGTGAGAACTAAGCCATGTGTCAATACAAGAGATGTGGAAAGCGTGGTTACATTTAGGCAATAGCCTAAGACTCTCTTCTTCTTCAAACTCACTTAAACAAACAGGACAATCTGTTCTCTCGATTAAACCATCTCCTCTCTTGTAACTGCAGATCGTGATCGAGTTAATGATCGATTGCTGTAAACCTGTTGTTCTGATCAACCAGATTGGGTGATCAACTTGGTCCCTATCTTGAAACTCATCATCTATTACCGTGTCGTTGTCTTCGTCATCGGATTGGTATCTTCGGTGATTGTCACGGTTTACGCTGTCTGAAACGAATTTAGCCACAATGAAGAATCCGGTTAAAAGGATGGCTAAGACCGCACCAGTGATTGTGAGGATGGTTATGGCGTCAAAGGAAGATGAAGGCTGGTTTTGAGATGGTTGATAGACGGCTGAGATTGATGGAGAGGGAGAGGGAGATGGAGATGTGATCAAATGTGGTGAAGACCGTGGTGGTAGCTGAGGGGATATGGCGGAGTAATCTGGTTCTCTATAGCAATTGTAAGGGCAAATCGGATCGCAGATTCCTAAGGAGCAATCTAATGTTTTGTTTGTCTCTGATGCTAAGGTAGGGAAGAGCTTTCGATGCTTCTTCTTCCCCATTAAAGAACACACTCAAGAAGGAGTATTGTTGCTTGGAGTAGAACAAATTAAGATGAAGAAATATTTCATTGAGTTAAATTTTTCTTGTTTGATGCTTTTTTTTGTTTGTTTAGGTTGTGACAATATAGAAGAAGATTGATATTATCTTGGGGTCATATTAGGGAGGAAGATGAAATTTTCTTCTCATCTTAAGGTATTGACTTGTTCTGTGATAAGTTGAAGCGTCTTTCTAATTGTTTAATTGGTGAAGAGTCGTAGTCATGAAAGCCATATTTTACCTTTGAGCTTTTTGACTCTTTGGCTTTCGAAGATTTAAGTTAAAAGTTTTATATCTTCGTTTTGCTGGCAATGGCCATCGGGCTTCGTCATTTTGGCAAAATTATAATATTAAAACTATATTGAGACTGCAATTAAAATTAAATAAAGACTGCAATCAAAATGTTTTCTTTGAACCGATAGTTTTTAACTGTTCTCGCTCGAATGATGTGGGCAATATGTATTCTGGAAAAGTAGAAACTTTTAAAACTTCAGTTCCACCAATATGAATAACATACAACCCATACTCTATTAATGGTTTAATCTCGTACATGATGTAAGAACTCTTTTCTGCAGTAATCAATATATAAAACTTAAAAGAGAACTATGCCATATGTCTTCACGTAAATGTTGGCTTTTTCTTGTCGTCGCATACTTTTGCACTTTCTTTAACAATTTTATTATTGTTTTACTTCATTTGCAATATGCGTCAGACCATTTGAGGAAGTTCTTTGTGGTACCAAAGACTCTAAGAATTGGTGTGTTGGCAAAGTTAACTCTAAATAGTGTTTTACTGAATAAGGATTTCCACGCAGTCTCCTTGGTGTCATTTTTTTCAGGAAGCTTCGTTATTTTCTTGATATTAGATGTTTTATGGGCCTAGTTTAGGGCTCATGTGTGTGCTGTTTAAAGAGGCCTGTAGTCTGCTAAAGACGTTAAATTATTTTGAGATTTCTATGTATTTCTGGCAAATGCCCAAGACAGATCATGAATAATGGTCAACATCAAACGTAATTTAGTTAAGTGTATTGCTTTTATGTGGGCAGTCTGATGTCCAGCAGAATTAGTTGCTGCGTCTCTATCATATGCATGCTTTGTTTTGCATCTTTCGGTGAGATAATTTTGGGTTTTTTTTTCAAACTAATTACTCAACTATCAGTATCACCTTTTTAGTAACTTAGATTATAAATTTAGTATTAAGCATTACTGTAATTTTAAGAAATATAACTGTTTCGCATAAAATTGATTGAAAGGAGGATACCTCCTTTGTTGTTTTTACCATACACTAAACATTAGTTATAGCCTTATAGGACTATAGGACGTCCTCTAGAACATGCATGATCACACATCCACTTACATTTGTTGTAGTGTTTTATAATAAATTATTTCACGTCACATACTCGAGTTCGGTTGTTGGAGAGCCTCAGTGATTGCTCGTAAGAAAAGTTTGTTCATCTGCTTTGGTTTGGTCCATCATATTGAATCATTAAGCGAACTTTGATGACACATCGTGACTACTTTGGGTTGCATCATCATTTCAACTTTTTACAAAGGGTTATTGAGTGTGACTTTATGATGTGTCACCAAACCTCATATGACCCAATTTCTTGAGGTGTAGCGATATTTCCTTTGTTGAGTATGTCTAAAGCTAGAGCAGAGGAGGAACAAGTCCTTATCCCTAAATATGAAAAATTATAAGTTTTCAAAACTTAAATGATGAGAGAGCTTTAGTTGGAGGGCTAGTGGACCTAACTCTACTAACTCCAACATGCCCCTTTGGTTCCAAATCTCTCTATATATTTGCTCATAACTCACATTGAATTCCCTTAATTAGTCACACAATTATAAAAGTATAGATACTGTTACACTCGATACACAAACATGGCAAAATTGATTACACTTGTTGGTTTTCTTGTCATCATCTTCTTCAATGTGTTTGAACCTGCCTCTTCCGCCAGTCACCCCGTCGAATGGTCTCTCGGGAAGGACTATAGCTTGGCTACCGGAAAGCCCTTTGCTGTCGGCGATACCATCGGTATGTATATACATAGCCTCTCTTATACGTAGCATACCAGTTGTTTCAACCACTAATAGATGCATTTGCATTTACATGTTAAAAAATTACATTTTAAAAAAGCAAAACATTATTTTTCAAGTTATTTTTTTTGATGATATATGTTTGTAAAGTATAATCTATTTTTGACTGCAACTAACAAAATGTTTTAAAACCTTGGTAACGATAACAATGTCGAAGTCATAGTTGTAATATATATATTTATACGTTCATGTACATTGTGTTGCATATAGTGTTCAACTACGGTGCGGGTCACACGGTGGACGAAGTGAGCGAAAGTGACTACAAGAGTTGCACATTGGGGAACTCAATTTCTTCGGACAGTAGCGGAACCACAAGCATAGCTCTTAAGACATCTGGTCCTCACTACTTCATCTGTGGTATCCCCGGACACTGCACGGGCGGTATGAAGCTCTCAGTCACCGTTGCGGCAGCCTCATCAGGCGGCGGTGGAGGCGGCACTAGTGACAAAACTACACCAGCACAAGGCGGAACTACACCCTCAGAAGGCAAAAAGGCTAGTCCTTCTGCTTCGGCCACAACCGTGTTAAAGCCGTTGGAATCTTTGGTTGTGACTTGTGTAGTTGCATTGCTGTACTCTTTTGCTCTCTCTTAATTAGCTGGTCTTTTGAGTGTTTTAGAGTGGCTCGACTCGTTTAAAGGACCCAGGCTAGAGGCAGTGCTATTATTATATATGCTTGTTATTATTATTAATTATCTCTCATGATTTTTCCTATGCTTTTTGCTTGGGCACAATATTATTTTCATTTCATCTGATCTGATCATGAATGTATTTCTTTATTGTTACAAGCATTGACTGAGAAAAGTAACTTAAAGCACCATCAGTATTGATTAATAAGTACATTTCTAATTGACGGTGACACCATCAATATTGATTACAAGCTTTTTATTAATAATTTTAGTAGTGTGAAATTATGAAAATTTTGAAATTATACATGGGATTTGAATCTTTTAATCATGAAAGTGACGATAAAGAAAGAAATGACACGTGTAATTAGCAACTGCCAGATGGGTGGGCATTGACCTTGGAGGACATTTTAAGCATGAAGGCCCAATAGCACCGGCCCACCGACTTACCTAATTAGGTGGACCCACTGGAGATCTCAATCCATCTTAGCCGTCCATTTATATATAAAGTACTGTAACCACTCCCAGATCTCATAACTCTTAAACCAACACAAAGTTTGGTATAAATTAATAATGTTTGCATCTACCATACCTACTTTAAAAAAAATAAAAATCATTTATTTACACATAAACAAAAATGTTTCTACTTAAGTACTTATCTTAAGTTCTTAACTAATCAGAAATTAGTAAGAATGAATACTTCAAACAAACTTATAAGTTACGACAAGACCAATCATAAACTAACAAAAGTCTTCATTAAGTCTGATAATAAAACAAATAATTCTTACAAGAATCCCATGTTGATTTTTCTATCTTCATTTTTTTTCAAAATTGAAAAGGACAAACAAGAGGAAGAATAATAAAAAGAGAAGGATCTCGGAAACATCATGGAAATTTTAAAACCAGCGTAGCATTGAGTTTACACGACGCACATATAAATACAAACACAAGTATGTTAACAAACACACAGAACAAAATACTAAAATTCAAAACACCTGCAGAGCTCACGAGACAGAGTACTAGCTCCTTTCAACTATCATCAATGGCTAATGTTCTCATCAACAGAAGAACAAGAAGAGCAGTGAAACCAGAGAACGCTAAATGGAAGAGATCAGATTCCAAATCCAATACGAGTTCAGAGAATAGTAACTTCTCATGCAAGAAGCACACCAAACATAGACAGTCTCCTGGAATCTGTTCACTCTGTCTCACAGAGAGGCTCTCTAACTCTAAGCTGTCTCTGAATTATTACGACTACACTAAGAAAACAGATCAAGCGTCGGGGTATTGCGGCTCATCAGCGTCTTCTTCTTCCTCGTCGGTCTCGTCTTGCTACTCTTCTTCATCGGTCTCTTCTTGTTCGTCTCCTTTGCAGTATCGGTTTAGATCAGAGAAGAAGAAGGATGGCAAGAAACAAAGCTTTTTGTTCAGATTATTACTCGGATCCATCGTAGACTAGTATTAACTAGTTCTTTTATTTCCATCCATAGTTTTATAAGTTCATCTTACTGCTTTCTGTAAAATTCATTATTCTTCCATCTTTTATATTTTCACTCGGCACTGTAAAAAAAAAGAAAAAAAGATGCAATAAAATTTTTATACCTACACATTGTTGTTCGTGACCAAATAAAAGAAGTTATAACTTCATTTTTTCGTACATCACAAGTCTGTGATTAATTGTATTATATTGATGATTATGGAGCATTTGTTTTTGTAAGTACAACACATATCTATCTCAGTTAAATTATCGAAAAACGATTATGTTGTGGTGGTTAAAAAAGAAAAACCTTTTTACAATTAAAACATAATTTCATAATAAAATACTTGGTCCAAAGTAACTTGTGAAACAACTACCATATTCAATGCATTTAAATTTATATGTTACAATTTTTCTATATCAACTATCAACACTTATTAAATGTTGAAAACGAAACAATCCTTCTGACGTTTCATTTTATTCTAAATTATAATTTATTAGTACTAATTAATAAAATAATTTTATTCTAAATCAAAAGATAATGACATGACTTGAAAATGTTACATTTTCTTGTCAAAAGAAGGAAACAAATCTTATAATTTTAGATTAACAGTATATGTATATCTATGAGGAAAGAAAAAATAGATAAATATACGCGGGCGCCATGGCGTGATAGGCTGGCACATGACTTTAACTAGTTGCCAGAGTGAATGTACGGTTAGAGGACAAAGACGTGTTGTACTTTCATATTATATACAGTTTGATTCACTTCGTATTCACATTATACAGCTGTTCAGATTTTATATTCAGCCGTACCACTAACGTTTTTGATGCATCCAGTCAGATAAATGCATGCATTATACATGATTGCATGTGTGCGTTGCGCGTCCTGGAACTAAGAAGATACCGATACTGTATATGATGATCACCTCTGAAGCCCCGTGAAAGTTCTTTGAACCTTAATTTTGTTTTTTTATTTTTTTAAATTATCTGCAATCATTGATGAGTTAATATTAGCTATGTTCAAACTATACAACTATTATTAATCCCCATTCATTAAATTAAACTGTAGTTTCAATGATAAGCATAAACAAATCAAGTGTACAAATAGAACCACATTAAGCCATCCAAGTACGATTTTAGAATATGTTAATATAGATATTAATTAAGTTAACTCACCTCGAGTGAGATCACACCACTACTAGTACTCAAAATACTGGCTCAACGTAGCGATGCACACTATTTATGAACTATGGAGATCAAAGAGAAACTTTGCACCGTCACAACTCCATTTACACGGACTAATAAGGCTGGCCAAAACACCCTTGTGGTGAAGATATTAATTCTTTTTGACCTTTTTCATAAAATGTTTCTGAATAATTGATTGTTATTTTTAGATGAATAACTTAAAATTATTTAAAGAAGGAAAGAAAAAGTATTATATATGCATAAATTTAGATATTGCTCGGTCAAAATACATACAAGCTTTGGATTGATACATATTTTTCCCCATTATATTGATAGAAACGTCCAGTACATCTATATTTGTGGAGTGGATCTTATAAGTTTCTCGAACTATTGGAGATCATCATCTTCCTAGAACTGAAGTTAATTGCGTATATTTTGTGTTTTCTAGATTTTACGACTTGGTAGTTTTGCTGACTTGTATTCTCGTTCAATTCGTTATACACCTCTAATTCAGTTTACATGTACGTAAAAGTCTCTTGACTCCAGAATCTCAAATACAGCCAAAAGAAAAACAGAAATATTAAACCGTACGTATGGGTGGAGGACGGGGTCATATAGTCAGACAAATGAATGAGAATACTAGTATTACTATATACATATGACCTTTAATTAGGTTTTTGCCTATGGTAGAAAGTATGAAATGAGAATTGTCTCGTCTTTATGACCTTTACCATAAACTGAATCTTTGACATACGTACATTCCAATTACATTACAAAAGATTCTTCGTTTTCAATTAATTAAACCCCACGACTGACTATTGAATTTGATTTTGCACTACTTTTCATAAGAGCATCATCAATGCAAGGTTCTTATACTTAAGATTTACACATGAGAGGATCTTCCTTGCATTGATGATGACCTAAATACCATTACGTAAACTTTGAATGAATAATGTACGGTACACAAGACAGACTAAACATTTAACAAATTATTATTAATTTCTTTTTAAAAACAAAAAATTAAGGTTGATATTATTTTCCGAACTAGAAACGGATAAAATACGCAACATATTAAAACAATAACTCATTTTCGAAGTATATTTATTTGTACGTAAAACATGTTTATAATTAAGAGACAATAATGTTCTTCTATCTTTTTAATCTGCAACCACTGGAAATAAATACAATTTATGAGCAAAAAAATATGTTCATCCCAATCTACAAAAGAAATTGATCATCCCAAGTACGGCAACTATTCGAAGGCCTATCTCCGGTCTTAACTCTTCTATGTACTCTTTTAGTAACTAAATATCCTTTGTGATTTGGTTATGTCCGCTGAATTCGGTTATCTAGCCACGTGTCAGTATAATGACCTTGCCCGTAAAATAAAGGTTAATCATTGCCCGGCTGCCCGGGAAATCAATTTCAAATTTCAAAGGTTGTAAAAAAGGATCAACGGTCCTTTAATAAACGCTAAAATAACCGCAACGGAAAAACCAGCGAATCCGATTCTCTTACTCACAAATATTCTCTCTTCTTCTTCACCCATTTTGAAATTTCCTCGCTCTCCATACTCATTTCTCTCTACTCACCTTCTTTTCTTCTCCCCTGCGATTTTGTTGTTGTTGTTGTTGTTGTTAATGGAAGATTGTTGTGATCCTGTTCTCGCTACGGATGCTTCTTCGCAATGTGAAAGCTTCTGTGAGATTTACGATTTGATGACTATTGTTCTCTTTAAAATGTTCCAATCAAGTTCGCTCACTTTTTTTTTTTTTTTTTTTTTTTGAATTTGCGATTTTTAGCAGCAGCTGAAAAGGCAAATGTATCGAGCTCAACGGCTATGGAAATGGTAGATCTGGATTCAAATTGCGATTTGAGTAACGGTTAGTCATTCGAAATCTTACGAACGGTTCTGAGTTCACTGTTGCTTTACTGATTTTGGATTTGAACATTTAGATGTTCGTATGGAAGTATCGAGCCCTGGGTTGATGAATCTGGAACAATCTAGTGATCCTGTAGCGTTAGATGGTAACCAAACCTTTCATTTGTGTTCTCCCCTTTTGTGAAAATCAATCGCTTCACTCTAGAGGTTAATGGCGTCACATTGGGTTCGATTGTGTTTTTTTTCCAGGCAAACTTGTGTTAGGTTTTTCATTAGCATCTCCTGATCTAGTTTACTGTGGCGCTTCACCTGATTTACCCAGAGGTAGCTATGAAGATTCTCCAGAATTGGCTAAGAAGATAAGATTTTCTACTGAGCTTTCTCTAGAGAATGGAATTGATGGTTCTACTACTACAAGAGATGGACGTAAAAGCCAAGTTGTCAAGTTCTCAGCAATCTGTCAAACATTTGGCTTTGAGTTGTCTCCTGAGTCTTCTTTTGAATTACCTTCTCCACCTAGAAACTTTAGGGAGAGTACAACTCCTGTAGTTAGTATCAACTCTGGTTCTATAAGCACGGATGTGACCCTGGCTGATGAAACTTTCATGAAGGATGACTTTTACAGTGGAGGTGAAACTATCAGGACTGATGCTGCTGTTGGTAATGAGGATGAGGTTTTGTTGTATCAAACAGCTCGAGTCGGTAATTTCGCTTACAAGTTTCAGTTACTGGAACCTGGGGACTACTTCATTGACCTGCATTTTGCTGAAATCGAGTTCACAGAGGGTCCTCCGGGAGTTAGAGTTTTCGATATATTCATTCAAGGAGCAAAGGCAAGGCAGCAATGCATTTTGAGTTTTTCTTATCTTTTTATTTATCACATGCCCATTATGATTTGATTGAAAATATTGCAGGTCATATCCGGCCTAGATTTGTTCTCGCAAGTAGGAGCAAACACACCTCTTGTGATAGCTGATCTAAGGATGCTCGTTGGTCAGGAAGGAGAGTTATCTATACGTTTAGAAGGAGTGACAGGAACTGCAGTTCTATGTGGCATTTCTATTAGAAAAGAGGCAACGGCTAATTGTATGTAACTAACCTTTTTGTGTCTTGTATGTTTCTATTTTCTTCTTCTTCTTCCATGTGAGGTATTGTGAGTTAGAAAAACTAATCTTCCATTTCCAGGAATTTTTCACAATTCTGATCACTTTTTATTTATTTATTAGATGTTGAGAATACTGGAATGCTAGTGGTTAAAGGAACAACTGACACTGTTCTGTCCCAGCCAACTCAAGTGAGAGATCTTCCACAAGCTTGATATTTCTAGTTTAATTGGGGGTGGTTACATATGTTGCAAAAAATTAAACTATCCTGCTGTTTTTAGGAAAATGTTGACTGCAGAACAGAAGAAGAGAATGAAGGGATGAGAAGTGACTGTGAGCAGCAGAAGACAGAGATGGAGGACATGAAGAGAATGATTGAGGAACTTAAACAGGAGAACCGAAAAAAGAGTAGAGAATGCGAAGAAGCATTGAATTCTCTCCGTGAGATTCAAAATGAACTAATGCGCAAGTCGATGCATGTTGGTTCTTTGGGTATGTAAATCATTGTCTTCTCTGTTTTGTCTTCCATTGCAAGTGGGAAAGTTGACATTGTGTTACTTGTTCATTTCAGCGTTTGCTGTTGAGGGACAAGTCAAAGAGAAGAGCAGATGGTTCTCTTCACTAAGAGATTTGACAAGAAAATTGAAGGTACGCAGAAGCAAACTTAAAATAAAAGATCAGCAACCGCAAACTCTCATGCCTCATTTTACTTCGTATTTGTAGATCATGAAAATGGAGCAAATTAAGCTGTTGGAGGAGGCATCCACATACAAATTGCTAGCCCAGGAGATCAACGAGTTCAGCTCTCACATACAGTCCAGAGGTGAGTCTTTGTCTTTATATCATATGAAATTACCACTAGCACTAGAAAGGTTTTCTTCTAAAATGTGTTTCTCTGAATTCTGATCTGTTAACATCTGTATCCAACAGTAAAGCAGGACGCTGAACTGCATGAAAATCTCAAAGTCAAATTTGTAGCTGGAGAAAAAGAGAGGAAGGAACTATACAACAAGATACTAGAGCTAAAAGGTTTGTGTCTATATCCAATATAAATTCTAGAGGGAACTCCTTGACAAAAATTGGCAGCCTAACAGCTTACGGTGATCATTATTTCCGACAGGTAACATCAGGGTCTTTTGCAGGTGTCGACCTCTAAACTTTGAAGAAATTGAAGCAGGAGTATCAATGGGAATTGATGTTGAGTCAGCCAAAAATGGGGAGGTCATGGTCATGTCAAATGGGTTTCCCAAAAAAAGCTTCAAGTTCGATTCTGTTTTTGGTCCTAACGCTTCCCAAGGTAATCGTTGGCATCAATTATCAACATTTGCTACTTGCCTTGTAGAAAATCTCATCTCACCATTCGACATGTTGTTTCTTATACTTTTACAGCTGATGTTTTTGAAGATACTGCTCCCTTTGCTACGTCGGTTATTGATGGATACAACGTTTGCATTTTTGCCTATGGCCAGACTGGTACTGGGAAAACTTTTACCATGGAGGGAACTCAACATGATCGTGGTGTAAATTATAGAACACTGGAGAATCTGTTTAAAATAATTAAAGAAAGAGAAAACCGCTACAATTATGAGATCTCGGTCAGTGTCTTGGAAGTTTACAACGAGCAGATAAGAGATTTGTTAGTTCCAGCTTCACAAAGTGCATCTGCGCCGAAAAGGTAATAGATAAGTTTTGTATGCCGTTCTCCTTGTGTATTCTTTTTATGAAGTTAAGCATGGAAGGTCCATGGTTCTTTAGTCTCGTTCTTTATGACTTGGAGTTTCAAAAAGGACTATAAGTAACTTCTTGCTGCTTCTGAGCTAAATTTTGGCTAATTGGTCCTATCACTAATAGTAGCTCGATACTCCTTTCTTCGCAGATTTGAGATAAGGCAAGTGAGTGAAGGAAATCACCACGTCCCAGGATTGGTTGAAGCACCTGTAAAAAGCCTAGATGAGGTTTGGGATGTGTTGAAAACAGGAAGTAATGCAAGGGCTGTTGGGAAAACGGCGGCTAATGAGCACAGCAGCCGATCTCACTGGTCTGCCTACTTACTAGTGGTAGTTTCCTTTTTTATTTTTCACGAAGAGAAGACTATCTGAATGTATTTTCTCTTCTTTTCTATGCATAGCATTCACTGTGTGATGGTAAAAGGGGAGAACTTGTTGAATGGAGAATGCACAAAGAGCAAACTGTGGTTAGTTGATTTAGCAGGAAGCGAACGGGTTGCAAAGACAGAAGTGCAAGGAGAACGGCTCAAGGAGACTCAAAACATCAACAAATCATTATCTGCTCTCGGGGATGTCATCTTCGCTCTCGCCAACAAAAGCTCTCACATTCCTTTCAGGTGGATATGATACATCTATTTACCTTGAATTACTACAGAAAGTTACATTCACCAGTTTTCATCCAACTTGCGTTTGATTACCCTTGCAGAAATTCAAAACTCACGCATTTGCTTCAGGATTCTCTAGGTGCTTAACTTTCTTCCTACAGCTGCAACCACTTCCTTTTGCTTACATATGTTTCATTTACCTCTATTCTGTTGATCTATTATGGAGCTTACGATGAAAAATGACTGGCATATGACAGGAGGAGATTCAAAAACCCTCATGTTTGTTCAAATCAGTCCTAACGAGAATGACCAAAGTGAGACACTATGCTCACTTAATTTTGCTAGCAGAGTGAGAGGGATAGAGTTGGGACCTGCCAAGAAGCAGCTAGACAATACCGAACTCTTGAAATACAAGCAAATGGTAAGCTAGATGTCCACTTGTGTGTTTATCGAATCTTCACCTAGTGTTCTGACTTCTGAGCTGTGCTAATTTTTATCAGGTTGAGAAATGGAAGCAAGATATGAAAGGAAAAGACGAACAGATTAGGAAAATGGAGGAAACAATGTACGGTTTAGAAGCAAAGATTAAGGAGCGAGACACTAAGAACAAAACCCTTCAAGACAAGGTAAACAATACTCACCATAACCAAAAACTACAACATGGATTATAACATTTTCAGCCTGCTGAAAGCATCATATATCACTTTCTTTATTAGGTTAAGGAACTTGAATCGCAACTGCTGGTAGAGAGGAAGCTTGCACGTCAACATGTAGACACAAAGATTGCTGAACAGCAGACGAAACAGCAGACCGAAGAAGAAAACAATACATCAAAGAGGCCGCCGCTGGCAAACATACTGTTGGGATCAGCTTCAAAAGAATTGGTAAAACTAACACGCCCATCAGCCTTAGAGAGCACCATCAGCTATGATCTAGCTCCGTTACCTGACGGTGGCCTCAAGTACACTGACTTCTCTGAGAAGGAGAACAATCCAGAAATGGCTGATCAAGTGCATATACCTAATAGGACAGGAAGATTCTCTATCTGTGCAAAACGAATTCCATCAGATCTAGCACCAAGAAGGAGTTCTCTTGCCCCAAACACATCAACCTCGAAAGAAATGGTGAATCTAACCCGACCACCACTCTCAGAGAGCACCACCAGCAATGATCTACCTCCTTTACCCAATGGTGGTCTCAAGTACAGTGACCTCATTGAGAAGGTGAACAATTCAGAAATGGTTGAGCAACTGCAAATACCTAAGAGAACAAGAAGATCCTCTATCTGCGCAAAACGTATTCCACCAGCTCCAAGAAGGAAGACTCTTGCCCCAATGCCTTTCATGCCAATCACATCAACATCAAATTTGTCAATATTGCCACCATGCCAAGCTATTACAAACTCGCCTGGTGAAAAAAGTGGCACCAACCAAGTGATCTGCACCAGCCCCAAGCTATACAGAAGTAATGGGAAGACATTGACCAGCATACTGAGACGAAGCATGCAAAAAAGAGTGCAAATGAAATCTTCCCCGAGGCAGCAACCATTGAGAAGAGGTGGCATTAATGTCGGGATGGAGAGAGTTAGGCTGTCTATAGGAAGCAGAGGAAAGCTAGCACACAGAGTTCTGCTTACCAATGCTCGTAGGGCAGGTCTGAAAGAGACACCGCAGAAACAAGAGCGATGGATCTGACTGAACCTATTAACTGACCTGATATGACTTAACAAGTGTTCTGCTTTCCAATGCTCATTAAATTTTATTTTTTTGGGAGGATGATTGATATTTTATCAACCTCCGGGTTCCGTGTGCGTCTGTGGATTTGGTTTGACCCTATTGTATAGATGGTTCTGGCTTTTGTGCTCTCGTTCAATTACTTTTTTTTTTTTTTACATAGGAAGATTCCAAGAAGCTATAACCGTATTCCATCAAGATACATGATTACCGAGTTTACATTGAAGCCATAAACTGCATATCATCGAAACAGATGTACACAAAATATAACAGCAGAATCCACAAGATGAAGGCTAAAACAAAGAAGAATTGCAAAATTCATTCAATTCATGGTAGTGAAACTCATACGCTCAGGTTATCTGAAATAGCAGCTGTGATCCTTCCTCTTCCACCCTATAAATGCTTCCCCTTCGGATCTATCTGCATCTCTCCTACTCATTTTTGTAGTTTATTTTTTTAATCACTCCTAAAAAAAGGTTATATTTTAAAAAATAAATGACTACAGTACAGTATATATAATGTAACGCATGAGCGGTCGGTAAGCAACATGTAGAAACGTTTAAGATTTTTGTTCTCAATTAAAACAAAAAGATTAGATGGGTTGGTTCTCTCAAATATATCGTTTTATAAAAATTCGGAATTTATTAATTTTTCTGAAAAAACAAGAATTAGGAATCCTATTCGAGAAGGGGAGTGACACGAGATCTCAAACTAAGAGCTCAAACTACGGGTACGACTGTCCTTTAGTGTTGTTGCCATCACACTTTTTCAACCACTCCATTTCTGATGTTGGAACCGTGCACATGCCTGAGCCGTTGCCTCCAACGTTTGCTTGTTCTGTGTCTTCTCCTCCTTCAAGTACAGAGGTCTTGCCTCCCATGATAACATCCATGAATGCGGTATCATGATCATCTTTCGAGGCTTCCTCCTTGGCAACCTCGAGAGCTAAACTTTCTTTAATATCTTGCATGGTTTGATCCTTTAACAAGATTGAAAAAAACATGTAAACCTTTAACATATTGTTCGTTTTTTTTTTTGGTCTGAGATACGATCACATAAAACCAATGTTCAATATGAAACAGTCATATATACATACATCAAGGTATATATATAAGTTCCGCATCAATAAAAAGAAAGGTTCATGATGACTTAAGAAAGAAACTCAAAGGTAATATAATCAAACATACCTCGCATGAAGGCTCAGCCTTTACCTTATCCCGCAACCTACGCAATTTGTGTCTTCTGAATTTCACACGGTATCTCTGGAACTGTATCCACAAGTAAATAAACCACAAACGAAATAACTCTATTTATTACAAACAACCAAAGAAAACAAAAAAAAACTAAGCCAAAAAGATATAAAACATTGGAAAAAACCAATTGTCACCGAATTTCTAAAGAGGCAAAATCGAGAGCACGAACCGGAAACTTGTTATTTCCGTGGGAGTTGTTGACATCCTCAGAATCAGCCATGATCACGGCCGTTTCGGATTTGGACACCGATCAATGACTACTTAGGGACGAGTTTGAGAGAGCGGCGCGCATCAGCTTCAGAAGACAAGTGTTATTTACTGGGCCTGGGCCCTTATTTAGTTAACTACGTAAATAAAATTAGGTCAATTCGACCCAGACCCGGCCCTGAGAAAAAGTGTTGTAGTACAGTAGTTAAACCTCCGCCAGCAGCTTGTTTGGTGTCCGGTTCGAGCCGTTGTGTGTGTCTTTAGTCAAAAAGTGTAATTTGGAACAATGGTCCGTGATGCAAAGTGGTGGTGGATGAAAAAGGAAACTATTTATTGCTTTTGTTGAATATTAAGCCATTTTGCAAACGTTGGAGGCAACGGCTCAGGCAATTTTGTTAACTAGGATTTCTATGTAAGCAATTTATTTTATATATAGGAAGATGATAAGAGTTAAGACTCCCTATTGTGTGAAGATGGTTTCCAAGAACCCATAAGCATAATCCATCAACATTACATTATCTAGTTCACCTTCTAAGCCGTAAACTGCATATTGAAAGAGATGTACACACAAAAGAAACAGCAGAATCTACCACAATTTACAAGATGAGGCTAAAACAAACAAAAAAGATCCGCTTCTTGCAACTTTTCAGTTTCAGCTTAGTGAACTCACTCGGCTCAGGTTCTCTGCGATAGCATCTCTGATCCTCCTGGACCCGATATATGCTTCTCCTTCGAACCTCCGAGTCTTCTCCTCCTCATCTTTTTCATCTTTCCTCATCTCACCAGCTTCACAGCCATTCACACATTCCTCTAGTGAGTCATCATCATCATCTCCAGAATTCACAAGAAAATTATGCAACAAGCAACACGTCGTTATGACAAACGGCAGAAACTCGATTGTCTCTGGTTTCCATTTCTTATCAAGAATCTGCCAACGAGCTCGAACCTTAGCAAATGCAATCTCAACAGTATGCAATCCAGTGTGTACCACATTGTTGAATTCTTCTCTAAAACTCTCCTCTTCCTCCTCGTTCGAAGTCAAATCATACGGTGTCACAAGCCATGGCAATAAAGGAAGACAAGAATCTCCCAAAATGTAACGAGGAACCAATACCCCATTCCCAAGTTTGGTCGGAGCTCCACTGAGGACTTCCTCTGCAATTGAGAAAAGCTTCGTCTGTCTGAAAATGGCTTCTAGTTTCATCGTACTTGGCCAACCAGCTGAGATATCGACGAATCTGCCATTGGAATCGACCAATGCTTGAACCAAAATCGACCCTTTTGCACCAAGAAGCTTCCCTTTAACCTCAAATCTCCCGAATCCGAGAACACCGCAGCAATTGGGGAGCAGATTAGGTGAAAAATCGGGTTTTGGATCATCAAGCTGTTGACTTAATTTCTCATTGATGAGTTTACAGACAGTGAAGAAAGAGCGTGAAGCTTGGGAAGTGGAATCAAACCCGAATCTGTGAACGAGAGACTCGTAAGAAGCACCGTGAGCGAGACGGAAGATTGTGGCAGCGAAGGAAGGAAGCGAAGCAGGGGTTAAGATGGAGTAGAGACTGAAGAAGGTGGACTTTGACATTCGGAAACAAAGGCACCAGCGAGGATCATCCTCGTCTTCTGTGGCGGAGGTTAAGAAGCGGTTGAACCACGTGGCGGTGGTGACGGCGGGGGAGGGGGAAGGGGAAGGTGAGATTGGGAGAGATGAGATTAGGGATTCGAGTCGGAGAGACTGTGATGGCGAGAGGAAGAGATCGTTGGCTTGGAGAAAGGAATGGGTCACGGCGGCGGCGGAAGAGAGACGACGCAGTAATGGGTCTTTCAGACCAAGTTTGCTGGATACATTTGTTGGGTTTTTGTCGGATTTTTGTTTTCCGGCGGTCATTGTTTTTTTCCCCGGCTAGTGTGAGATGGAACTGCCGCAACTTCACAGCTAACTCATCCGAAGCTTTGGAAAGACCAATTCTGGTTGAGAAATTTTCTACCCATTTAAAACCGAACAAAACTTTGGTTCGGTCAGTTTAAATTTTAGCTTGGTATAAACAGAACCGAAAGTTTGGTTTACTATACGTTCTGAATTTCGGTTTGGTGGCACGAAAAATAGGATTTTCGGTTTTTTTTTTTTCCTTTGAAAATAATTGTCTTGGTGGTTAAACCGAATCCATACCAATTTTGCCAAAGTCTGGCTCGATATGGCTAATTCAGTTTGGACTTAAGCTAGGCCTGACTTTACAATTGAAAGGCTGGAGTTTTCAATTTGCTCATTAATCAGGAGAGAAGAAACAAACTACAATTAAAATGTTCAAGACAACTAAAAGCTTTGATTCATAGGCATCGAAGTATGAAAGAGAATTAGTTAACCTTTTGTCATGCTTTTGTATCCGTATAAATTAGTTACCTCAAGAATGTATAATTATCTTTTCGGCTTTACCAAAATCTTTTGTACGAGTTCTCTTTAATGATTGTTTTTCCTTTAATTTGTTACAACGATGACTATCCATCCTAGGCTTGTACTAATCAGAGCATGAATGCCTAAAAAGTTGGACAGTTCGTTGTGTAATTCACCAGAAAGAGATAGCTAAATCCCATATTCTTCTTAACCTACCAGGTTTAGCTGATACTTTAGCTAACTGATCCTCCATTAGCCTCTCTACGTCTGGTCCCATATCATGGACCATTTTAACCGACTCAGAGAGACGGTTCAGCAAATTCACCAATGCAATCACCTCGTTCCGTTGCAGTTGCAGCTGTTCAAAGAAAAGATAGGATTTACTTCAGTTTCAGCTGACACCAAAATACAAAACCGATGCATAAAGATGTTTTGAGAAACTCACAGTCTGATGGTCTCCAGTGTCTTGATTTCCAACAGAGAAGAGAATTTTCAATGCTGTACCAAGACCCTGAACCTGAAGTTTCCCCCAAAGCCGGCATTTTTCACAACCTACACAATCCATCAGTGCACTGCAACACATACATTTACTTAGCTGTATTACTATTACCACTCTCTTTACGTTTGCCAATAGAACATATCCATTTTCAAGAAAAAAATTAGACAAACCTTATATTTCTGAATTGTTTCTGGATCTGCTGTTTCAGTTCTGGTCCACTTTGACCTTGCCACAGCTTAGCTTCATCAAACGGAACAGGACATGCTGTTTGTAGTTTTGGACTGTACAATAACTGCTTAATCAAAGACTGTGTTTTCAGATCTTCAGCATGGTTTCCTGTGTCATACTCTGCTTGCTCCAAGTATGCTGTTGCCTGAATCAAACATTGTAACTTGTAAGAAGTCATTCCATAAGACTAATAGTATGATTTCAGAGAAACATATAAATTCCCAAAAGAGAGAAGTTACTTACTTTTGTAACAGCACGTAGCACAAATAGGTAAGTGAAGTACATATTTCTAACACGATCCGGATGTCTCAGAATACGATCATACATCAGATCCATGTTCTGTCCCCACTGTATTTCAAAGAAAATACATATCAATCAAGACCATAAAATATATTCTTGTTGGGAAACTTGTCTATCTTTTACTCAGAAACACAAACCTGGTTGTTTGACTCATCAAGAAGGTAATCAGCAGCTATGTGCATCGAGATTGAAGAATGAAGACCGGATATCAATTTGTACAATACCTTTTTCTCTGGACATGTCTCTCCAGATGAATCTGCACAAACCATATAACATTTCAACATACATCATTATACAAGCCTTTGTCCCCAATACTAATATAGTGGGGAAAAAAACAACTCACACTTTGGGCAGTTCTCTGAATATATGGAGTCCCAAATCCTTCTAGCTGATGGTCCAGTATAACCAGTATACCTTTCGGGGTTTAATTGAAGATTGACATAAGTCATCTCACCTGCACATAAGTCAATTTAAAACATCAAATGCTCTTTTAGTAAGTATTTACAGTTTGGTCTGTTTAGCATATACTCAAAGAAGATGTCCCTAGAGCATTTTTATGTAACTACGTACTGCTATCTGTGTCATCTTCGTCATGCGTCCATGGATTCTTCGTTTCAACCCAACCTCTGAATGCTCTGTTATCTATAGTACGGTCAACAGCTGCCTGTGGTTTTCCCTCTTGACACTTCAGATCATCAGAAGGAAGTGGCCTTTTAAACGGTTCTGGAAACTCAGTCTCGGGACATTCACAGACACTGCAATCACGCAAACGACACATTCCATCGTCTGGCCAGAATGGGCAGTCACACCAGAGTTTAACCTATACCCCCACATTTATGAAAAACCAGGCATAAGTCACGAACTACACCTCCATATAGTTCGACATAATGTGATTCAAAAGCATCACTGACCTTAAAGTACCGGAAAAATGGTGTAGTGACGAGATCTTGCAATAAAGGATTCAAAACCTCACTATTGAGATTGTCCACTGTTTCATAATCACAACAACAGTCTTCAACCATGCCTTTGTATTTACCAGTTCCCTGCATTCAAACGGAAGATAAATAGATAAAAAAGATGCCAAAAATCAAATCCTAATCAATCTTACAACAACATTGATAATCACACATCTTCCATTTAAAAAAACATTGGTACATTTCAGAGAAAACGTTTCAAAGCTTTAGCTAAACAATGTGATAAAAAGATTCAATTTTTATTACCATTGGCTAAAAACTGTGATCAAAAGATTCAACTTTAACTATCCTGAATCCATCGGTCACAGATATCCACAATTTCAACAATACCCAACAACAAACTTCATCCAGAAACACAAACAAAACACGAAAACTGTACTTGAGAGAACTTAAAGTCAATTTCCTTAATCGAATGAACAAATGATACAAAAGTCAAAGCAGGAGATGGAGAATTCAAGAGAGTGAATCCAAAACCTGAAGTGAACAGCTACAAGAATTTCGATCGCTGGAGAAGAAACCGACATTAGAAGCGGTCCTAGAGCTCACAGCAACTGCCAAAAACACGACAACCAAAGTCGCTAAAGGCCATCGCCATGTTTTTCTCTTCCCCTCGCTCTCTTCTTCTTTGATTGCGCCTTTTCCCATAATGATGACGAATTGCGAATTATAGGAAGGACAAAAAAGAAATGAAAATGAAAATATCAAAATGGGATAACAAATCCTTTACAATAAAAATTAACAAAAAAGACACGTTTTTTGCGTCTTCCGGAAATTCTCAAAACCCCATTGTTGTGTTTGTTTTTGTGTCTGAAGATCGCCTTAAGCAAGCAAAAGTCATAAAAATGCGTTAGCTTCATCAATGCGGACATCTTTGTTTTGACATTTCAGCGCGACGTGGGTTTTGAATAACACGCGCTTTTCTCTAGCCGGCGCGTGTTGGAGGCAATGTGTTTTCTTCTCGTGACGTGCATTAGCCAATAGAATGCTTTTATTCTCGTAATGGTAATAAACACATGTTGCCTTTTTCAACGCTTCCAAGTCAACGACCATTCGTTTGACTAAACTAAACGCTTTTCTCTATACGACGCTGCCGTTTCATGGTTATAATCATCATAAAGAAATGTAATTTGGGCATGTAGGTTAGATTATAAGTCCGTCTAATTTGGGCCTAGTTGCTTTGGGCTGATTGCTAACGTACGAGTTCAGATCCACACATCGTAAATTTCGATCGTCACCTTGTATTCCAAGGCATTCGTTGGTGGCTTTAGTGCCCTAACCCCTGTTTTGTATTTGTTGTTTTATGAGGGTTATGTTTCTTTGTGTACTCCGAAAATCTAAGGTCTACAGAGTGAGATAAAGAGATGAAATTACGATGTGACCAACAGAAAAAATGTTTTTTCGTATATAAACGTTTATTATTAAACTAAAAAAAAAAAAAAAACTCACTATGGTCTTTATTTAGCGAACTCTCCAGAACCAAGATTTTGTTGAGAGAGAAAGAGAGGTTGAACGTCACTAAATGGTCTCTCTGCGTACACAGGGTCATGAATCAGACAAGTCTGGTCGCCATATATGGTCGGTCCATCGATATTAAGGCCTTGGGGACCTTTTTCACTAGAAGGTTATTAATTAAACACGTCAAGTAGTTACGTGTTTCAATGTGAGCAACATATACGTAGTAGGCTGTAGGTAGGAAACTGGTCTGTATGCATATTCATCTCTCTTCTTTTCTTCCACTTAATGATTGTCGTTTTTTTAAGACATTCTTTATTTTCAATTGTCGTCAGTCATACGTCTAAATATGTATGAATAGTTTTAAATGATTGTGAAAATTGTATTAAATGAATAAGAAAGAAAAATATGGACGACGGATGCAAAGATGTTGAGAATCAACTCTCCTTTACTAACAGCCCTAGCTTGCATGCATGTTTATCCGCTGAGGATTTCTATAAATACCAATACAAAATGTATTTACTCTCACAACTCACCAAAACCCTTAAAACAATCACAATGAAGAAACCTTCGGTAGTCTCATTTCTCATTACTCTCTTGTTGGCTGCAGCTGTCTGCATTCAAGGAAGCGAGCCGGTGAAGGACACCGCCGGAAATTCACTTCAGCCGGGTAAACAATACTTCATCCAGCCGGTTCAAACGGGGAGATACGAAGGAGGTGGTCTTGTCCCATCCGGCATTGCAACATTTCCGACCTTTTGTCCACTTGGCATCACCGAAACACGCCGTCGATTCGAACCGGGCCTTCCGGTTAGCTTTGCTTCACCACTTGGCGTGGTAGAATTTGTTACGACATCTTCCATTGTAAATATCGAGTTCCACTCCGACGACTGGCCGGTGTGCAAGGAGTATTCCAAGTTATGGAAAGTGGATGATTCCTCATCGGTTCCCAATATGCAAGCAATTACCATAGGTGGTACACAGCTGGCACAAAACAGCCAGTTTAAGATTGAGAAAGCAGGAACAGAAGCAAACACTTACAAGTTCACCAGCGTTACCGGAGCAGGAACGGTTGGATTCACCCCACAGGGGTTTTTACAAGCCCCACAAATAGTTCTTACCAATGATAATGCTAAGACCTTAGTCGTCAAATTCAAAAAGGTTGATGATGCTACTACGGCTTCTACTTCTACTTCTCGCATTGACAAGTTAGCCGCCCTCAGGATGTTCCCTTTCTACTAGTGAACCAGTCAAAATCATGTAATGTAAAACCCCGAGACTCTTCATGACCATGGCCAAATATAATGGATTGAGATAATACTAGCACGCATGTCTTTATTATGATAATACAACTTGAAAAATAAATAAATAAATAAAAGAAGTGTAATACAACAAATATATATATATATATATATATATATATATATATATATATAAATTCAACATCTATCAAATAACTGAAGGTATCACAAAAATGATATAATTTGCTAGTTCGATTCAATATAATAGAATTTGAAGATGGTAAACTATAAATGTATTGTTTTAAAAGCAAAACAATATAGTAAAATATATTCTATGCGTTCAAAACAAGGCAAATGACAAATACAACTTTTGGAGAATTACAAAGCAAATTAAAGGTTTCTGATCAGTTAATGTAATGATCACGTTAGTACCTAGCCATATTGGTATTGTTTTGTGCTCACTAGACCTTTGTGAGTTCCCAAAATCAAATTCCGGTACACAGAGGGAGATTGAACTAGACATAAATATTCATATGCTATACATCCGATAGAATTCTATATCTACAACATGCTACCTCTTTAATAACACGATTTGTAAGTTGTAACTATGGGGGATTAATTAAGATATACATATGGTACGTTATACTATTTCTGGATCTGCAAGTCTATCTGATTGTGCTAACATAACATGATGGCTTTTGCGAATTATATGTAAGAATAAGAAAAAAAAATGAACATGAAAATATCAAAATTGGAGAAATAATAACAAATCCTTTACAAGAAATTAACAAAAAAGACACGTTTTTGCGTTTTACTGAAATTCTCAAAACCCCATTGTTGTGTTAGTTTTGTGTGTGTCTGAAGATCGCCTTAAGCAAGTAAAAAGTCATAATAAAAATGCGTTAGCTTCATCAATGCGGACATCTTTGTTTTTGACATTTCAGTGCGACGTGGGTTTTGAATAACACGCGCTTTTCTCTAGCCGGCGCGTGTTGAAGCCAATGTGTTTCCGTCTCGCCAATAGGATGCTTTTGTTCTCGTAATGGTAATTAAAAACATGTTGCCTTTTCAACGCTTACCAGTCAACGACTATTCGTTTGACTAAATTAAACGCTTCTCTCTATGCGACGCTGTCGTTTCATTGTTATAATCAATAATCATCAAATTATGTAATTTGGGCATGTGGGCTAGATTATAAGTCCATCTATTTTGGGCCGAGTTGCTTTGGGCTGATTGCTTACTTACGAGTTCAGATCCACTCATCGTAAATTTCGATCGTCACCGTGTATCCCAAGATCTCAGTTCTATAAAGTGAGATAAAACTCGAAATGCATTTTTGTATAACTTCTTCACTGAGACAAGTTTTACTTTTACCCTGCCCATTTCGATCAGGTTCTTGATTATTTGTCGACTTATGGTTAGTGGTCTTTAAAAAACTGGTTTATCATTGTCATAAGGATTTTGAATTGTTTCCACTCATTTGTTTTCTTGAAAATGTGATAAAATCATTTTGTTTCATTCTCGTATGAGTTTGTAATTGTAGTAAGTTCTTTTTTTAATTAGTTGGGGAAAAAAAAAGTGTGGCCAGAAATTAAGAGAGATGTGGGGAATGATTTCGTACGTTGTTTCACCCAACTTTAATACTCTGCTTCAGAACCAATTTATTCATCGTCCTTTTATTTATTTATTTGGTATACGTGTTAGCTAACATGATCATTGTGCATTTTACTCGTGCTGAAAATCTAAGTCTGAATTGATTACCTCAGAAGTCTGGTCCCCTCTGTTTAACTCTCAGAGTAGTAAAAAAGTTAGAAAGCAAGGATCACAGACTATGTGAGTTAAATTTAGGGTTTTACTCTTTTAACATCATGTCCAGTTTTAACCGCTGAGGATTTCTATAAATACTGATACAAAATGTGTTAGCTCTCCACAACTCAACTCACTCAAATCCTAACAACACACAAAACAATCACAATGAAGAAACCTTCAGTAGTCTTTTTTCTCAGCACTCTCATGTTGGCTGCAGTTGTCTGCATCCAAGGACAAGGACCGGAAGAGGTGATGGACAAGGACGGTAATCCAGTTAAACTCGGTGAACAATACTTCATCCAGCCGGTGAAGACCAAAAGTAACAACGGAGGTGGTCTTGTCCCAGCGGCCACTAATATACTTCCCTTTTGTCCTCTTGGTATCACCCAATCACTCCTTCCGTACCAACCTGGCCTACCGGTTAGCATCAAATTACCATACCCTCTAATGGAAACAATTGTTAAGACATCAGTAGCTGTGAACATCGAGTTCAAGTCCGACATCTGGCCGGTCTGCAACGAATATTCCAAGTTATGGGAAGTCGATGTTTCCTCATCAGCTCCCAAAGAGCCTGCGATTCTCATTGGTGGTAAACAACGAGAGAAGAATAGCTGGTTTAGGATCGAGAAGGCCGGAGAAGGAGAAGGAGCAAACACTTACAAGTTGACTACCGCAACCGGAACCGTTGGAGCCATCCCTGGGACTTGGTTAGGTGCACCACAACTAGTTCAAACCAATGATGATGCTAAGACCTTACTCGTCAAATTCAGCAAGGTCGATGATGATACTACGGCTACTACTTCTACTTCTCGGGTCGAGAAGTTAGGTCTACGGATGTTCCCTTTCTACTAGTCAAGTGGTAACTAAAATCATGTAATATAAAGCCTGAGACTCGTCCATGGCCAAAATAATGGGTTGAGATAATACCCATACCCATGTTCGTATTATCCATGAATTAAATAAAACTATGCTTTCTAGCGCTTTATCATGAGTCCATTAGGGCATTTTTATCGCTAGAGTCGTTCGGCCCTTAAGACAATTAAAAAACTCAGATAATCCAAATAGTGGAATTGTAAGGTGCATTCGCTTTTTGCCGGAGATGTTTTGATAAAAGAGTCTTAGGTTACGTGTAATGTTGTGATAGGGTGTTTATTTTTGTTGGTTTTAAAAGATTAATGTTTTTTTTGGTGAATTGACGGGAGATAGTGTCCACCCTATGTTTTATTAAAAAAATCAAAATTACACATAAATGTCACGTCGCTCAGGTGGACCAACAATATCCTCATTTAAAATCAACACCAAATCTATCGGTACAAAACTCAAAAAATAAAAACCTAAAGACAAAGAAAACACATAGTTAACTCGCCCATCTGCAAGACGGTTAGCTTCCTTATACACATGCGATGATTAATGTTTTTATTGCTATGGTTTTTGCTTACCTAGATTTTTTTTGTGGATCCCTTTTCTTCTCATCCTTTTCTATTTTCTCTTTTATTTTTTCTACTTCTTCTTCTTTCTCACTCACTCACTAGTCTTGTTTTGTTTTGTTAGGTTGAGACTTGAGAATTACATATTAAGATTTTTCTTAATTTCTTTGTCTATTTCTAACAAAAAACACATACGAGGTTTTCTTTACTTTATGATCAAGTAGAAAAAAAGAAAAAAAAAATCTGTCCCGGTTCCCAATGCAGAACCCCTGGTTCTCCAATGGCCGTGCTTCCGCCTTGAATCCAAGCGTTCCCACTGCTGGTGGTAACCTCAGCCCTTCTCCCCCAGTTCCCCCAGACCCTCCTGATCCCTCTCTCCCCCACTGTTCCCTTTCCTCGTTTCCCCCTCTGTCTCCTAAGCCCCAATCTCTGCAAGTGTCTTCTCTCCAAACTGCTCCTCCTGTAGGGCCTGGTGTGAAGTCTTCAGACTTGGTTGTTGCCTCAAACTCTACTACTACTGATGTTGTGATGCATCCAGTTGACGAAATCGCTACTCCTCCAGTAGATCTTGGTGTGTTAAACCCTAGATCTACAATCACTGTTCAAGCCATGAACAAAAGTACTGCCCCTGCGAAATTCACTGTTTTAACTCCCAAATCCTCTTCTCCTTTACTCACCAATAAAGCGTCGACCTCTTCATTCCCCCCAAACCCACCACAAACAGCCTTCCCACTTCCAAATAAACCCTCCCAAACCCAAAAACTAGCCTCCCCAAAAACTGGATCTCTATCCTCTTCTTTACCTACCCCACCCCAAGGACAAACATCAATTGTCCAAGCAGAACAACTTCCTTCTGTTACTCCGATTGAAAATCCTAAAGCTCCTGGTTCGACCCCCAGTGTTCCTGGACCAGCTGCTCCTTCTACCAGCCTCCCTCAAGCCACAGGAAAGAAAACCCTGGTTGAGCGGCTGAGGAAGAATGTGAATAGAACATTACAAAGATTAGCCCCTGTATCTTTATCTAACTCTGGAAGGCCATGTGTTCACATCCCTGATGCAGTCTTTCACAGAGGAGCTGAGCTTCACAAGGACTTCATAATCTGTTTCTTCAATGGCAGGCCACCCCTCTACCATCAGATTCAGAGTGTCCTTAATCATATTTGGGGTAAAGGCCAGCGTTTGGAGATCCATGTCAACCACTCAACAAGATCCATGCTTGTCAGAATCCCAAATGAGTACATTAGGCAGAAAGTCCTTGAAAGATGCATTTGGTATATAGGGGACTCCATGTTCCACACCACCTCCTGGTCCGCCAATTACTCCTCTGACACTCCTGTACTTGACTCAATCCCAATATGGATACATATGCTCAACATTCCTCTTGACCTGAGAACCATTGAAGGAATCAGTCTCATCTCAGGGTTAGTAGGAGAGCCTGTAGAAACTGATGATTTTACTATTAATTTAGTGAGTTTGAAAGTTTCTCATGCAAAGGTAATTGTCGATCTTACAAAGCCCTTACCTGCTGTTGTGGAATATACTAGAGATAATGGTCAGATTGTTGAGGTTGAAGTGGAATATCCTTGGTTGCCTCCCACTTGCTCACATTGTAAAGAGTTAGGCCACATTGTTAAGAACTGCCTGCAACTCCCACCTCACTCTGATCTTCCGCCTAAAGATGATGTTCCTGCAAAGACAGACAAAGCTACCTCTACTGCTGATAGCTCAAAAGACAAGGGAGAGCAATCTGTGCCTCTCTCTTCTACCATTTTTATTCCTGTGAAAAGGAAAAAGAATGATATCAAGGCCACAAATGTTTCAAAACCCTCTACTTCCCAAACCCCCTCAAAGCCCCCCTCATCTTCCACAAACCTTTTTGCACCATTATCCCATCCAACCCCCTCTTTAAATACTCCTCCCCCAAAACAGTCTAATCTCACAAAAAACCCCACAAAAAACCCCACTAAATCAGTTATTATCCCTTCCCAACCCTCTGCTAACTCTGTCCCACAAACCCCTGCCACCATAAACTCCCTTTCTCCTGCACCCAAGACCACCATTGTCTCTCCAGTGGTCCCCACTCACATTAAACAGCTGCCAGTTGTTGTTGGACTTCCTGCCTCTATTACTCCCTCTGGCCTCCCATACCCCCACTCTCCTCCCCCTGATCAAAGGCTTAATTCATCTCTTAAAAGATCCCGTTCTCACCCCACCCTTTCTGATTCTCCCCCTCTTTATTTGGACCCCCATCCACCCCTTTTGACCCCCTTTGTTACTGAACCAGTCACTTTTTTGTCCCCTTCTCTTGTCCCTGAACCTGCTAAGGATGGTTCTGTGCCTCCTTTGGTTGATCCCCCCCCTCTATCCTAATGGATACAAAAAACTTTTTTTGGAACTTCCGTGGCCTAAATGACCCGGATAAGCATCAGCCCTTAAATAAATGGCTTAGTAGCTATCAACCACTTTTTGGCGCACTTTTGGAAACGCATATAAAGGATCTTAGTTTGAACCAGATTATGAATAAAGCATGTCGTGGATGGAATTTTACTTCCAATCATTTGTCGGATGAAGATGGTAGAATCGTTATCATATGGAAGGATCCGGCCTCAGTTCGAGTGTTGCACCAGTCCAAGCAGTCTCTAACCTGTGAAGTAAATATTGCCAACAAACTTAAGTTTGTGTTCACTGCGGTGTATGCATCTAATCTAAGAGAGGAAAGAACTGACCTTTGGGTGGAACTTCTCAACCTCCAGCAATCTTTCTCGTTAGATTCTTGTCCCTGGCTTGTTGGGGGTGACTTTAATCAGATTGTCCATTATGGGGAACATTCCTCGCCCACAGTCAATTCCATCACTCCCCCAATGGTTGAGCTGTCAGACTGCCTTTCTCAGTTGGAGTTGTTTGACTTGAGATCTCAGGGGCCAACCTTTACGTGGAGTAACAACCAGCCTCTATCCCCTGTTGCAAAGAAGCTTGATCGTGTATTGGTGAACCATCACTGGATCTCTTTATTTCCAGACAGCACTGCCACCTTTTTACCTCCGTTTCCCTCTGACCATGCCCCAAGCCTTGTAAACCTTGCTTATCAACTCCCGAGAGCTGGTACCAGACCTTTCAAGTTCTTTAACTACCTTACCAAACACCCAAACTTCCTTCAGTTAGTGGATGAAGCCTGGATTCAAGCCGGAAGCTTTGCTTCAAATCTCACAGACCTGTGTTGGAAGCAAAAGGCTATTAAAGGAGAACTAAAACACTTAAATAGAGAGCACTTTTCAGACATTCAAATGAGAGTTAGTGAGGCTAACCGTTTGTTATTGGATGTACAGGTACAAGCTCTGGCAAGCCCATCACCTACCATCTTTCAGCTGGAGAGAGACACTCATGATAAGTGGCACTTTCTAAGGAGTATTGAGGAGAGTTACTTTAAGCAAAAGTCAAGAATAAATTGGCTTAAAGAGGGAGACCTGAATACCTCTTATTTCCACAAGATCTGCCAGTCGAGAGCAAGTTATAACACTATTCGCTCGTTTCTGTTGGACTCTGGTGCTCTGCTAACGGATCCTGTGCTTATGAGCACTCATGCAATCACCCACTTTAAGTCTATCTTAGCTCCTGATCATCTTGCTCCTCCTGCTCAGTGGTCTTCTCTTCAATGGTTCCAAGAGTTAAACCCTTTCAGATGTCCACCATCCCAGTCCAGAGCTATGTTACTTATACCGGCTCACTCTGAAATAGCAAGAATACTATTCAAACTCAACCCTAACAAGGCCCCTGGACCGGATGGATTAACTTCTGGATTCTATAAAGCAACTTGGGGAATCTTAGGCGATGAAGTGGTTACCTCTATCAGTCGCTTCTTCCTCACCTCTTTCATGCCAGCCTCCACAAATGCCACCATCCTCACTTTGGTGCCCAAACATTCTGGTGCCTCTAGAATTGTTGACTACCGTCCCATATCCTGTCTCAATACTCTCTACAAAGTTGTCTCCAAGCTCCTGGTTGCTAAGCTCAAGCCAATTCTCCCCTCTCTCATCCTACCAAATCAAACGGCCTTTGTTCAAGACAGACTACTCCTTGAGAACACCATCCTTGCTGCTGAGATTGTTAACGGATACCATAAAAACCAGGGCCCCAAGAGAGTGGTTATTAAGGTTGACATTGCAAAAGCTTTTGACACGGTTTCTTGGGATTTCCTCTTCCAGTGCCTCCGGGGTCTTGAACTTCCTGAGTTGTTCCTCAACTGGCTCCATGCTTGTGTCTGTTCACCAAGTTTCATGGTTGGTTATAATGGTACAGTTCAAGGTTATTTCAAAGGTAAAAGAGGTCTTAGGCAGGGAGACCCTCTTTCCCCTTACCTTTTTGTAATAGCTATGAACACCTTATCTCTAATGCTTAATAAAGCTGCAGAAGAGGGAAGGTTCAAGTATCATCACAACTGTGATAAGGCCAAACTCACTCACCTCTGTTTTGCGGATGATCTTCTCATCTTCTTGGACGGTTCCCTCAGTTCTGTTCAGGCTGTCCTCCATGTTCTGAAAGAGTTTGAGGAAAGATCAGGCCTTGCCATCAGCATTCATAAGTCTTCCTACTTTGCTGGAGGGCTATCAGATGAGGAAACAAACCTCATTACTACAGTGACTGGACTCCCACTTGGTTGTCTCCCGGTTCGCTATCTAGGAGTCCCTCTATGCACAAAAAAGCTAAACATTCAAGACTGTGAACCTCTACTGCAACAAGTCAAAGGAAAAATCAATAGTTGGACTACTAAATACCTATCTTTTGCAGGGCGATTGCTGCTAATCAACACGGTTATTGCAGGAATCACAAACTTCTGGTGCTCCTCTTTTGTCCTGCCTAAGCTCTGCATTCAAAAGATAAACTCAATCTGTAGTGCCTTCCTATGGAAAGGAAATCTAGAAGGACATCACTCTGCTAGAGTTTCTTGGGAGAAGATTTCAAAGCCAAAGACCCAGGGAGGATTGGGAATTAAAGACCTCACCAGCTGGAATAGGGCTTGCTCCATAAGACTCATCTGGCTTCTTTTCTTTAGATCGGGATCTGTTTGGGTAGCTTGGTACAAGGAACACTTCCTGCGTGGGTCTTTGAACAACTTTTGGACTATGAAACAAAGACCAGTTTACTCATGGTTAGCAAATAAATTGTTGAAAATCAGAGACGTGTGCTATAATTGGATAAAGATGCGGGTTGGGAATGGTCTTACTTGTAGGTTCTGGACGGACAACTGGTCTCCTTTTGGACGGCTCTCGACCTTCCTCTCCGATACTGCAACCTCAAGACTTGGAATTCGCCAACAGTCTACTCTTTCTCAGCTGTACAACCGGGGCACATGGATGCTACCAAACCCCAGATCAGATACTCAACTATCTCTCCATATCTTCCTCACTACGCTATCCTTATCTAACTTTGATGACCACTACGAATGGGAACTAGATGGGAAGACCTATACACGCTACTCTACTGGGCAAGTCTATCGAGCTATCACTATGCAATCGCCTTTGGTTCCTTGGAGAGAAGTCGTCTGGTTCTCCGGGAGCATTCCAAAACACAGTTTCCTCACTTGGCTTTTGGTTCAGAATCGGTGTCCCACACGAGATCGTATCCTGGGATGGGGGCTTCAAACGGATCCATTATGCCTCCTCTGTGGCTCTTCACCTGAGTCTAGGGACCATATCTGGTTTGACTGCGGATTCGCTTGGTCCATCTGGGAAAACATAGCAAGTCGATGTGGGATCTCTCCCCTGAGATCTTGGGAGGCATCGCTACACCATTTGCAGGGGATGAACGGGGATAAAGCTCGCCGGCGATTAACCCTTCTTGCTTGGCAGTGTTCCCTTTACTTGATTTGGGCGGAGAGGAACAATCGACTCCACCGTTGCTCTTTCCGATCAGTGGATGATCTCCTCCGACAAATTGATACAACTATCAGAAATCGGATTGCCTCGTACAGAGATTCGAATTCTTCTATTGCTTCGCTTATGCTGCAACATTGGTTCTCCTCTGCTTGATCTTCCGACATTTGTCGTCTACTATTCCATCAACTAGGGCATGCTACTTTCTCTAGGTTCAACTTAAGATCCATTTGTGTTTGTTTTGTGCTATTCGGGCTAGGCCCACATCAAAAAACTACTAAGGCTGGGCTTTTGTAATCTTTTTCTTTTCTTTTTGCAATTAATAGAAAGCCTGTTACAAAAAAAAAGGTTTTCTTTACTTTATTTCTATCCCTTCAAATTTTAAAATCTTCAAATAACAAAAAAAATACTTTAAAATCTTCAATATTTCTATTCTTGTTTTGACTAATTTTATAATTTTTTGTTTTGTTTGAAACTAATAGTATGTCATCAACATATCTTAAAACCTTAATCTAAATATGTTTTATGTTTATTTTTATAATTTTCAATTTATTAATTATTTAATTAATTAAAAATTTATTAATAAGTTTTACATTATTTTATTATTAAAAATTTAAGATCTTACAGGTTTAACCAATAATAACCTATATATCTGTGGTTCTTAACTTACACTTTTACATTATTAATATACAAAAAAAACTCTAAGTTACATCTTAAAGCTTATGCCTTTAAAGATGCTCTTACTAACGAGATTGTCATAAAATCAATTATGATATAAATATAATTAAATTACATATAAATCACAAGTAGCATATAATTAAGTATGAAATTGATATTTTTGTAGACAAACTTATGAATTTAATCAATCTGTGTTCATCCGATGAATATATCAAATCAAAGGATATTGCTATCTCATGTAAAATTATAATATCAATCAAATACAAATTTAAAACCGATGTAATAAAGTATATCCAATGGAGAAAAAAATGAAAAATGATTTACGAAGTGATGGTCTTGTAGTTGTTATCATAATTAGTTTGTTTTACACTTTTCCTATATAAACATTTATTACAAAAGTAATTTTAAAATCTCATTAGGGTCTTTAGTTAGCGAACTCCAGAAATTAAGTTTTTTTTTGTTGAGAGAGAAAGAGAGATTGAACGTACGTCACAAAATAATGTCTCTGAGTACACACGGTGATGAGTCAGACAGTCTGATCGATCGCCATGGTCCATCGAAATGAAGGGCTTGGGACCTTTTTCATTGGAAGGTTATTTATGAAACGCGCCAAGTGGTAAGAAAATAAATAAATGTATGGATACAAAGATATTGAGAATTACTCTTACGTCGGTTCACTCGTCCCTATCTCTCTCAAGTATGAAATCTTGTCTTTTTCCCATGAATTATTTGAACGGTTTTCATAAGCCTAAACCCTCTTTTCTTCATATTGTTTGTTAACATGGACCATTGTGCATTTTCCTCATGCTGAAAATCCAAGTTTGAATCAGTAACAGAAGAGTCTAAAGCCCTTTTTTCAACCCTCACTGTTGTAGAAAGTAAAAAAAAAAAAAAAGATTCTCCTTAATTTACTGAATATAATGCCCTATTTTTAACCGCTGAGGATTTCTATAAATACCAATACAAAATGTGTTTAGTCTCCACAACTCAGCTCACTCAAACCCTAAAACACACAAAACCATCACAATGAAGAAACCTTCAGTAGTCTCTTTTCTCATCACTCTCATGTTGGCTGCAGCTGTCTGCATCCAAGGAAATGAACCGGAGGAAGTGAAGGACAGGGACGGAAATCCAGTTGAACTCGCAAATCAATACTTCATCCAGCCCGTGAAGACCGAACGTAACAACGGAGGTGGTCTTGTCCCAGCGACCGCTAAGATATTTCCCCTTATCTCTTGTCCACTTGTTGTCACCCAAACAATCCTTCCACTCCAACCAGGCGTTCCGGTTAGATTTGCTTTACCGCTTAGCGAAGCAGAAGTTATTTCGACATCTTCCGTTGTAACTATCGAATTCTAATCCAACTTCTGGCCGGTTTGCAACGAGTTCTTAAAGTTATGGAAAGTGAATGATTCCTCATCAGCTTCCAAGGAGCCAGCAATTATCATAGATGGTACTACACCTCAGGCACAAAACAGCCAGTTTAAGATTGAGAAAGCCGCAACAGGGGAAAACACTTACAAGTTGATCAGTGTTACCGGAGCAGGAACTGTTGGAGCCATCCGAGGGAGGTGGTTTGACGCACCACAACTAGTTCTCACCAATGATGATGCGAAGATCATAGCCGTCAAATTCAAAAAGGCTGATGATGCTACTACGGTTACTACTTCTACTTCTCGTGTTGAGAAGTTAGGTCTGAAGATGTTCCCTTTCTACTAGTGAACCAGTCAAAATCATGTAATGTAAAACCCCGAGACTCTTCATGACCATGGCCAAATATAATGGATTGAGATAATTCTATGTCATTATCTTTCCATAAATTAAATAAAAACATGTTTTCTAGCACCTTATTAATTATGCATCTCGCCCTTGTCATTGAGCTTTGCTAACAAAGGAAGAAGGAAATGGAATAGTTAAATTTTGAGGAAAAACAGGAAAAAATAAAAAATATATCAAATAACCTAGGGTTTCCCTAAAATGATATTATTTGTTAGTTCGATTTCATATAATGTTGTTCTTTGATTAGAATATGAAGATGATATATATGTATTGGTTTAAAAAGCAAAATAACTAGTACATATAATATCCGTTCAAAACAGGCAAATCACAAGTAAAAGTTTCCGATCAGTTAGTAACTAGCCATGTTGTGTGCTCTCGAATTTTAGGCGTATGGACGTATGGTCCTTTGAGAATTCCCAAAATCAACATGCTATATATATTCATATATATATATGCTATATATACATATAGAGGGAGATTGAACTGGACATAAATATTCATATATATGCTATATATACATCCGATAGAAGTCTATACAATATTTCAAGTAGAACATGCTACCTCTCTTTAATAACATGATTTGATATATGGTACGTTATACTATTTCTGGATCTGGAAGTCTATTTAAGTGGGCTTGATAAATCATGATGACTTGAAGGGATTTTAACAAAGACAAAAATGAATTTGTTGTCGCTCATTTGTTTTCTTGTAAGAACATACACATGGTGGGAGTCATTTTATTTTGTTTTTGGTTCAAGTGGGAATAATATTTGTTCTTGTTTCAACCAAACTGTACAAAGAAAGGATGTGGGCAGAAGCAGAGATGTTTGAAAATAATGCGTACGTTGGTTCAGTCAGAGAGATAGAGACCATTGGGCATTTTCTTCCCATCAATTGATTTGGTATCGTCCTTTATACTAGCATATATGTTAATTAGTCGACATGAACCATTTGGGCATTTTCCTCGTGTTGAAAATCGAAGTTAGATTCGATTTCCATACAGTTATCTAATTGAACCCTTATAATTTTAATTATTATGTTTCTAGATAAAATCAGAAAATCTATAACGAATATAAAGCAGAAACTTTATGCTTTTGAACTCTCTTGTGGTGGGTGCACCATGCAAAACAAAAAATTGTCGCTTGTGTTGATTAATACTTCATTTGATTGGGATCTCTATTATTTATCTAATCTTTTTAACTGGATTTCAAGTTAAAATAATTAAAAAGCTTTATTATATATCTATTTTTTAATTGGATTTAAAAGTTATCATAACTAAAGAAAAGCTCTGAATTTAGTGAAAACATAACTTAAAACGCATAGAAAAACAACTCGAAATTGATCAGACAAAATAAATCAGTCATGAAGTTAACTTAAGGAAAAATATAGATATGAAAGAAATACAAGTGTTTAGTTGCTCTACTTTCCAGCTTTTGAGCATATCATTTACGTCCGAATATATAGGGATTTAGGCATATCTTCTTACACCTTGTTAGAGGAACACATACTCCTTGTTCAAGGCAAAAGAAAAAGAAAAAGAAAATTATCTGTACACATATCTTTCTAGAAACCTTCTTTGTTCGACATCTTGTTGACATACATCGAACATCAACTAGACTACTTGATAAAGAATCTATTACTACAAAGACTGTTTAATTACTAAAATAAAATAAAAAAATAAGAAAAGCGCGCGGAAGCCAAAGTTTATGATACACTTACAAAGTTTGATTTTTTTTTGTTTGTTAAACTGTAGATATGTTGAAAGCATTAAACTATAAGTGTGTAATAGATCATACTATAATATGATTAAATACAATATTCATCCTCGAAAGGCTAGATATTCCATCTCGGGCAAATCCATGGATTTTGTCGAGACCATAATCAGACCATGTTCAGTCCCTTCAGTTTCCTTCGTATCCAAGCAAATCAACAATTCTTGGTCTACGTTAAACCCCTTTTTGCTCTTACCATTAGCTGCGATTTCTATGTATACACCATACTCGAGATCAGACGCCTATATATAGCTATAACCCCGTTCATTATTTGGAATCATCAGTTTATTCCTACCATAACCATGGCTGAGATTCCAGCAAAGAAACACCCTAACTCGAAAAACCGGAATAGCTTTACCACTAAATGCTCTTTCTTGGTGAAACAGCATCGTGCCCGTCTTTATATACTCCGCCGCTGCGCCACCATGCTCCTCCGCTCCTACATTGATCACGAGGACGACTAAACTTATTTATAATATATACCCTTTCTATATATATCTGGCTAAATTCATATTTTAGTTGATCTCCGATTCATCAAGAGAGTCTCGTGGGTTTTTTTTTCTTTTTTTTCTTTTTTTTCTTCAACATGGATTATGAGCGCCTACGTAATACTTGCTTCACAAGTGACTTAGAAAAGACGTTTTATGAAGGATTTTAATCAATTTTTCCGCTCGCAAGATTGACATTATCTTCGGTCGGCCACGATTTTGCAAGATGCATGAAGACAGAGTAAAAAGAGGATTACTGGTTCATCATTAATCTAACCAAACAGTATTTTTCCTTCAAGTTTATTTTCTCTCCCTCTTCTTTATTGGTTGATTTTGTAATATGAGTGTTGGAATAAAGATTTTTATCAACAAAAAATAGAAAATATGTAATAGAGTGTAAAACCAATATGATTTCATATTGAAAACTGAAAATCCTTTAATATTTTTTTCGGTATACTACATTACTACAACTATAATAGACAACGTGGTTCTCTGTGAATGGCTCTTGAGGAATGGGAGATCATAGTAGAGGAGACACGTATTGTATTAATGCTATAGCATATGTAAAGTGTCAACTTCCTCTTCTTCGCTTCTTCTGTATTATTCACACTCACACATAGACAAGTTTGACTCAGCTCATTTCTTGATCTTCTTGATCTTGTGGTCGCTTTATTATTTTTGTTCTTTAGAAAGTCGACTTATTATTACTATAGAGATTTTGAATTGTTGTCGTTCAAAATGGGATGAAAATATCTGGTTTGTGCACAGAAATTTTCATATTTTTTTTTTATATAGTAAGTTCTTTTAAAATAATAGAGAAACGACCAATTGTGGCCATAAATTAAGAGAGATGTGTGTGGGGGATCATATCGTACGTTGTTTCACTAATTTTATCTCTCTGCTTTAGATACCTTGCCGTCCTCCAATTTATTGATCGTCTCTTTCTTTGTTAGTTAACATGGACCACTCTACATGTTCCTCGTGCTGAAAATAATCGAAGTCTGAATTTAGGGTTTTACTTAGCAAAATGGGAGTTAGATATTTCTCTTTTCAGTTTTTACTGGTATACCCTGTTTTAACCGCTTACGATTCTATAAATACCGACACACAATGTGTTTGGTCTCCACAACTCAACTCAACTCGCTAAAACACATAAAACATTCAAAATGAAGAAACCTTCAGTAGTCTCTTTTCTCATCACTCTCCTGCTGGCTGCAGCTGTCTGCATTCAAGGAAGCGAACCAGTGAAGGACACAGACGGAAATCCACTTATCGACCGTACAAAATACTTCATCCAACCGGTGAAGACCAAAAGTAACAACGGAGGTGGTCTTGTCCCAGCAGCCACTAATATACTTCCCTTTTGTCCACTTGGCATCACCCAGACACTCCTTCCTTACCAACCTGGCCTACCGGTCAGCTTCCATTTACCATTGGGTGCAAAACACACCGTTGTGACATCTTTCCCTGTCAACATTTATTTCGAGTCCAACATCTGGCCGGTGTGCAACGAGTTCTCCAAGTTCTGGGAAGTCGATGATTCCAAATCCGTTTCCGGGGAGCTTCCAGTTGTCATAGGTGGTAAACGGTTTGCTGATAATAGCCGGTTTGAGATTGAGAAAGCCGGAGAAAACACTTACAAATTGACCACCTTATACGGAACCGTTGGAGCTATCCCAGGGGCGTGGTTAAGCGCACCTCAACTAATTGTCACCAATGATACGTCTAAGACCTTACTCGTCAAATTCAGCAAGGTGGATGATGTTACTACGGATGATACTTCTACCTCTCGGGAGGAGAAGTTAGCTCTAAGAATGTTCCCGTTCTACTAGTCAAATGGTCAAAATCGTGTAAGAAAAAGCCTGAGACTCGTCCATGGCCAAAAATAATGGGTTGAGATAATACCCACGCATGCATCTTTTTTACTTTCCATAAATAAAATAAAATTATCCTTTCCAGCGCTTGATTATGACTATATGAACGGCCGTAATTGTCAACGAGCTTGCTAACAACGAGATAAATAAATTTAAGAATGGATATCCAAAAAAATAACATATATCATAATTACCGTACAAGTATGAGTTAAGTAATAAATAATATATCGATGAAAAGATATGCCTATATCTTGTATACAAAATTATAATCCAAAAAAGGTTGTCATTCTTTCACATTCAGTCAATAAACAAAAAAAAAACCCTTGACAAAAAAAAACCCTACAGATAAATGATATTTACAATGTCACATAATTTTTTTATGGAATTTTTTTATAACCGTTATTACAAAAGGTAATTATCATCTCATAATGGTCCTTAATTAGCGATTCCCAAAAAAATAATTTTGTTTCGTTGGGATAGAGATAGAGAGAGAATAAACTTGACAAATTGGCCTCTTTGTAATTACAGTCGGTCGTCACAGCCAAGCGAAACACATCTTAATTATATTCTTTAGAAAAATGGGAATGATTACATTCATTAATTAGGAATTTCATGGAGCAATATCACACGTGGTTAGGGGTTGTCGTAAGTGTTAATTAAGACACGGTCATCCGATCCTCTTGTAGACTATACACAGCAGTGTTCTGCATGGTGGTGGTAAAATCATATATGCATGGGGGTGGTAAAATCATATATGCATGGTCGTGGTGAAAACATATATATATATATATGGTTCTTGTTTTCCAATTTGTTTTTAAATGAATAAGAAAGAAAAATATGGACGGATACAAAGATATTGAGAATCATTCGTACGTTGGTTCACTCATCCCTATCTCTCTGTTTTGAAATCTTGTCTTTTTTCCCCATAAAGTATGCATGTGATGGATTTTCATAAAACCTCAACTCTCTTTTCTTCATATTGTTTGTTAGCATGGACCATTGTGCATTTTCCTCGTGCTAAAACCGAAGAGTGTGTGACGTAAGGAAAAATCCAATAGTTGATAGCTGATGATAAATTTAGAGTTTTAGCATAAATGAGAACTGAAATTAATTATTTTCTTTCATAAATAAAATGTTTTTTCTAGCGCTTTACTATGACACACTTGCCATGCAAATGGGCCTGCTAACAATACATAGAAATATCGTACGTATATAGTAGGGGACACATATATTATATATGTAACCTTAGATTGTGTTCAAAGTTTGGATCTGCTATCTATCATAATTAAGGTCTCGCCCTTGATCCTTTTTAATGGGCTTAATCTAGTACGTGGTTGTAACATTTTGGTGACCTTTAGAGTATCCTTAATAGGAGTATCTACTATCTAGGAAAGTTTCTTTATTGAATCTTATGAGCTTCATAGTTTCTGAGACAAAACTATATTCGGTTACACGAATAAACCGAAAAAGAAACAAAATTCGGTTTAATTTGAAATAGATTTTAAAGCAAAAAACCGAACTGATTAATTCGCTTACCGAATTATTATTCAGTTCAATTCGGCAAAAATTTTAAAAAGCTGAAAATCTGAAACTCAAATAAACCGAACCGATTAAACCGGTTAAACCGAATGTCAAGGGCTACATATATTATATATATGTCGTATACCCGTATGTGTTAATTAGGATATGGTCCACTACTTGTAGAATTTACAGAGTGTTCATTATTATACATGAGTACACACACATGTGTGTCAAGTTTCACTTTGCCAATTCCTTCCAGGCTTACTGGTTCTTGCATGTTGCTTTCTCGTTATAAAAGTGGATTACTAATTTCATAGAAGTTGAGAACGGAGAGAGAACCATTCGTACGTTGGTTTACACATCATCCCTATATCTCTCACTGTCTCAAATCTAGCTTCTTCTTCCCATGAATTTAAAGCCTTAAGCCTATGTTAGTAGTTAACGTGGACCAATTGTGTACCTTCCTCGTGTTGAATATCGAAGTTCGAATTGGTAGACAGTTACCTTTAGAAACCAAAGATTATATTGTGACTTGAGGGAATTAACAAAAGCTAATAAATTTTAAGGGTTTTGTATTATGGGCTAAAACCAACAATATCAGAAAACGTAGAAAGATTATGAAAGATAAGAGAAGTTACGGACTCATATGGTAAATATAGAAACAATTAACATATTTTTCTCCTGAAGCAACAGAGAAGCATACGTACCAACATAACCACTATTTCCAAAGGTAGTTGAAGCATCTTCTCCCAATACCTCAAAACGGCGTCGTTTTGATTCAAAAAGTCCAAATCATTGACTAAACACTTGTATTTGTTTAGTTGTTGCAAAAAATCTCTCTATTTTGTTTTCTTTCTCTCGATCTCTCTGTCTCTGAATCCTCCATTGATGTTTAGGTATGTCTTCAGTTTCTCAGATCCTAATGCTTCGTCTTTCTTCGTGCTTCGTACTGCTCTTGCCTTTTCTCTTGTTTACTCTCTTCAAAACTATGCACAACAAGTATTCGATTAAATGCCGCTTACAATCCCCCACTCCAATTTCATCATCATATTCTGAGTAGCATCACAGATTTTGTTTTCTTATACCTTGAAATTTGGTACGTATCTTCTTCAAGGTACACAGAGTTTCATGGATTCGATCATACTATATAGAGATTCATAATTTAATCATACCCTTACATAAAAATCTGCTTTTTGATCATATGGAAGCTCAAGGGTTTAAGTTTTTCACGTAGTGGCTAGAGCTTCTACATGTATATAGAACTCGTTTTGAAAGTCACAAGCTGCATAAATTTTCATCTTCTTTACATTATCAAAGCTTCTATATATTACCATCAAAATTATAATTTACATGGGAGTGATGGTTAACATATGCAATTGACAAGAAAAATAAGTTGTGTATATTTACTTATGCAGATGTGTGATTAAAATAGGGAAGGGCACACAGTTACGTCTCTTCTTCGGGTTCTTGTCTGTTGTTACTTTGGTTTGGTCTCTCCGCTATATTCTTAAGCCAGTCTACAACTTGTTGGATGTTTGGTCTTTTCATTGGGTTTTGGTTCACACACATGCAGGCTACGTCGAGCACACGAAGCATCTCTTCTTCATAACCACTTTCCCTCAGCAATGTATCAAACACTTCCTCTGGTTTCCCTTCCCTTCTCATTGTATTCACCCAGGCGACCAATTCTCTTGACATCTTTGGCCTGAAAACCTCCATTGGTCTTTTTCCTGTGAGAAGCTCTAGCATGACGACACCGAAACTGTACACGTCACCTCTCAAAGTGGCTACCCAGGCTTGTCCATACTCTGGGGGAATGTAACCCAGTGTGCCCACTAGCTCAGTTGTAACGTGGGTGCGATATGGAAGAATCAGTCTTGACAACCCGAAATCTGCGACGTAAGCCTTGAAATTCCCATCCAAAAGGATATTGCTGGACTTGATGTCTCTGTGAACTATGTGCGGTTCACATATCTGGTGCATGTATGCTAGTCCACTACTTGCTCCTCTCATAATGTTTAATCTTTTCGGCCAATCTAGGTGGGCTGGACCCTCCGGATTTTCATGCAGCCAGTAATCGAGACTACCATTCTCCATGAAGGAGTAAATTAGTATCCGGGCACTATCATGGACGCAATAACCTTGAAGAGCGACCAGATTTTCATGTTTGGCCCTGGACAGAACTTCTACCTCTGCCTTGAACTCTTTTTCCATCATACCATAGTCTCCTGTGAGTTTCTTAACCGCCAGTTTTGTTCCATTATCCAAGGTAGCCTTATAGACAAGACCAAACCCGCCGCAACCAATTATATTAGCTTGACTGAAGTTGTTGGTAGCTTTCAAGAGCTCAAATATGGTGAGGTCTTTTACGTCATACCTGCTGTTTCCAAACAACAGTACGAGGCTTATGTCTTTCTCCGATCCTGGAGGGACTTCAGAATACGAGCCATTCGAATTTATCTCCAGTTCAGCGTTCTCAGAATCTCCTGGATTTACCCTCCTCTTGTCAAGCACCCACAGAGCCAGCAACACCAAAATCAAACTTACCCCAAAAAAAAGTCCAATGACAAGCCCCAAAACGAGCGTTTTGTTGACCTTTTTTCCATCCATCTTTGTAGTAGATGGAAGAGTTGGAGTGCAGGAAATTTGCAGCACACCACCGCACAACAAGGGGTTTCCATCGAAAAATGCTTTTCGAAAGGTATCGAACTGACTCCCTGTGGGTATCGGCCCACTGAGACTGTTGTTTGCAACATTGAAATAGGACATGAAATGGAGTCCCGTGAGCGACCAAGGAATTCTACCGGTTAAGTTGTTGTTGGACAGGTCCAGCCTCTCTAAGTTTGTGAGGTTTGACAATTCATCTGGGATGCTGCCGGTAAAATTGTTACTTAGAAGCTCCAGGATATGGAGAACCTTTAGCTGTCCAACCTCGACTGGTATACTCCCAGTCAAGTTATTCCTCCTGATGTATATCGTAGGTGGGAGGCTGGAAAGCTGATTGTATTGCTGATTGGTGGTGACATTATTGGGATTGACAAAAACCGGCAGCTCTAGATAGTTCCGCTCTGTTGCATCGTATGCCTTTTGGGACATCAAAGCCCTCAGCTGAAACAGTGCCTTTGGAAGCTCTCCTGTAAGAAGGTTATCGGAAAGATCCAAGTAGAAAAGGTCTGGAAGAGTTCCTAGCCAACCGGGAATTGACCCAACGAGTCGGTTCATTGAAAGATCCAGAACTTCTACCCTCTTGAGTTTGATCAGCCAAGGTGGAATTTCACCTTTCAATCTGCATCCACCGATACCGAAGATTTGGAGGCTTGGAAATCCATCTGCCGCAATAAAGTCTGCATCGCTTGGTACCGCTTCTCCATAAAAATTCTTTGCCATGATAAGAGTAGACAGCTTCCTGCAGCCTTGCAGAATGCTGAGAGCACCTGTGATGTTCGTCATATTATTGTCTGAAAAAGTAAAGAACGACAGAGATTCCAAGTCCAGTACTTGAGGAGATATCTGTCCTGTTAACTTGTTTCCTGCAAACCTCATTGCTGTCATCTTT